TGCTTCTATAATCCTTCCCTTCCCTCCTTCTTGCTCCCCCTCTTTCTCCTTACCCCTAATTGACCCAATCTGCCACCAAACATGGCCCAATCGCAATCGCCCCTGCCATATTCCCAAAAAAGTCCTTCTCCGTAATCGGCTGCCGTTGCCCCTCCACCAACCCCTCCCTACACATCTCATTATACCCCACGACCTCCAACTCCTCATCACCAGGGGTAACCCACCTCTGACACGTCGCGGTCGAGTGATCGTTGTTAAAGCGATAGACGACACAATTTGGCGTCTCGTAGCACAGGTTGCAGCAATCAATGAGGTCGCGGCTGAAGATGGGCACGTTGTCGAGCATGGTGAGGTGCGATGTGTCGTTTATATTGAGGTATTCGTAGCCGGTATTTAGGGGCGAGTTTTGGTAGTCATAGCAGGTTGAGACGGTGGGACGGGGACCTTCTATCGTTGTCGTGGTTGTTGAGGTAACGGTTGTGACGGTGGTATATGCGGTTACGGTTGTAGTCTAGTGGGGAGATTAGCGGAGGGTTGGAGCCGCCTGAAGAGCTAAATGGAAGGGGGAGAGGAGTGGGAGAGGGAGCCTGGAGGTGGGGGTTGACAGGAAGAAAAGGAAACTTACAGCCTTGTGCAGTGTAGTTTTTGTTTTTGTAGACGTTGTTGTAGAAGGGGTGATAGAGAGACAGGAGCATGCGCTCTTGATCTGGCCGGGAGGATATCCAGAGACGTACATCGGTAGTTGGTTTACGGCCCGAGCCTCCATGTCGGAGATGGCTGTACGCTTCGCTGGGGGAGGGGTTGGATAGATGGTCTTAGTGTTACTCGGATAAGGAGCGTTGTAGTAATATGTGATTGGGGGTCCGGGTGTGGTATCGGTAATTGTTACGGTACTGTACGGTTCGTATAATGGTTAGCACTTCGTGAAAAGCATATTTCTTTCCTTTCCGTGCTGCTCTTAACTGCTCTACGCTTAAAAGAGAACGCATCCCTAACTGTGCTTCACACACTTGAAAGATTCTACGAGGGGGAAATTTTAGAATATGTGCTCGTGCGTACTGTAAGTGTACAGACACGTGGAAGCACCAACTATAATAAGGAGGTATTTTTATAAATAATACGTACGAATAAGCAGTTACCGGGACCTTAGTCGTCACAGTTTTCGGCGACGGAGTGATAGTTAATGTCTATCAGGTGTTTAGCTAGGCACATTACTTGTTCTACAGTCTTTGACTTACCGTCGTAACCTTGGAGGTCTTAATTGGAATATGGAGGTAAGAGCTACAAAAGGGTGTTGCTTCTGCCGAATGCACACTGAAGACGGAAGTGACCAGAGAATCTTTGCATTTAGGTGCTCTAGCTTCCAGTTGCGTATCCGGATTGGGCGCAGCAAGGGCTATTCCAACGTTGATAATGCATGCTGAGAATTGAAGAATTGAAGGCTTCATGGTTGCAGGTATTGAAGTTGCCTGAAAACTTGTGACTATTAAAGAAAGTCCCTAGAAGTTTGCCAAAGTTTTTATATATCACAATACATACCAGCTGAGCTATATCCCCGCGGATTTCCTTTTCTTGTTGTAAGCTGCATACGAGGAAGAGATGTACAGAGCAAGCTAGTAAAGAACTATGTGATATATTCCGATGGCTGAAAGTGAGAATATTGCCCAGACTAATTGATAGGCGAGCATGGGTTAAAGATGCGGGCAAAGCTTAACCCTAAACTTTTATTATACCTTATACAAACTAGTCTAGACCGTGAAGCTCGTATAGCTTCCCGTCTAAAAGACGTTTATCGGAACATTGGAGGTGAATTGTTGGTCAAGTTCCTGCACGAAATCGAAAGAATGCGGGCCGCATCTCTAGCAGATCAGATATGTGAACAGTCATTCCACACGTTTTCCAGGTTTTGAGATGGATTTGTCCTCTATTCTGTCGGGAGGCTGACTGAAATCCGAGATATCGGATTGTTTGGTGAAATGGTGTTTTGCTACTGGATTTTCGGATGCAACCAGAATGTGCAGTAAAAGCAAAAAAACCCGGTGGCTGGTTTTCTACCTTCGTTATCATGTCCGCCAGGTTTATTGATTGGCACTTCTATTTTTGGTGAGCGAGGATACAGATGCAGTGATCCTTGCTGCTTCGTGTTCTGTGCAACGTTCCTTGTAGATGTCACGTGTCGACTAACCGATCCACAACCTTATTGTTTCGTCTAATAATCATCAATAAATGTGGACGTTGTTCCTTTATATCCTGATTCCCTCATATGGTGCTTTGACCCTTTCCGACTGCTTGCTGAAAATCAAGTCATATGGCGTCAAACCATTAGCTGGAGATTAGATCTCAGACAGGTGTAAGAACTATACGACAACCTGAGTAAATAAGCTGACAATATTAGGCGCAAATAATAACCGAAAATTTAGAAAGAAACCTGAGAAAGAAGTGTTGTAGGACGAAATACCCAGCTGACTAGCAAGCTGAAATTGGGACAGAGCTGACACGAAAGGAAACGTAAGGATGGCTGGCTGAATTGTACGTAAGAGCGGTAGAATAACTTGTTATACGTAGTACCAACGGCGAAATCTTTTAGAGACGAGACTGGGCCATGTATTTGAACTTCAAGAGGTGCTAATTTTATTGGAACCTGTTATGACTATCTCCGTGGACTTGTCAGAGAAGAATGGAGACAATATTTGAATCTTTTCCAAAACTTGAATATGTTCTGTACTGTGCGGTACAAAGCACGCATATCGTTAGTCCACATTTTTGTACAGGTTAATCAACTCCCATGTTGCTCGTAAAACAGAAACCCCACCGCCCTGTGTTTCGACTGTACGACCTCTACCGCGGTCATTCCGGTCCCAGTTTCCCTTAAGCTTGCTTGTACTGGAAGCTTGTGACGGGTTTCTTCGAGCTCCAAGTTTCGCGTTTTCAGTGGTGCCACCATTTTGGGATGAGAACGGCTGGCTTCCAGACCATAACGGATCGAGCAAGAAACTCGCATTATTACGGTAGTCGATGGCTCCATCTGGAATGAGCGATTCTTCAACATCGCGTTCCCGCGTTCCTCTGTGTCCCCACCACATCCCAAACTCTCCCTTTTCATCTTTCGTTTTCAATGCTGCCTGAGCATTATACGAGACCCAGGGTGCGTATTCTTTACAACTTTCAGCGTGTAGGCGAGCCTCTGCCTTACTAGCGCGGTATGTTCTACCGGGAATCATAGCCACGAGAGGTAAAGGTTCGCAGAACAGAGTCAGGTGGTGGAAAAATATACCTTTGAATGTTTGACCATTCTGTGAACAGCTTCCCCACGGGTCACATATCTCTTCCATGATGCCATTACGGCCGAGACCTGCCCACTGGCTTTCCTTCTCAGCAGAGGAGCGATGATGCCATCCAGTCGCTGCAATAACATTACGGACAAGGGTATGTCCATCTTCCAAATAGAAGATTTGCCCAGTGCCCTCCCATAAGCTACGGAGGCCGGAAAGTATCACACCCTGGTTATATGTGTATACCATCTCATTTCGTACATCACATTTGCCTGTGCCGATGGTCCCATTCTTTCCGTAGTTACGGATATGAAAGCCGTCAACGTAGAGACCTTTTTCATTAGTCATGTTACTGTTTTTAAGCCATGCATATGCGTCGATGGCTGTTCGTAAGTATTTAACATCATGGGGTTTTGCTGGTGGAAGATCCATGTCGTCATCTGCGGATGCTTCAAATGGAGAGGTGATATCGTCCCCGGGGAAATATAGATACATTCCAATCGCCGCTGATATAAAGAGTTCATTCGTAATCGCATTTTTATATGGTTCCAAATGTGGGTTCCAAGTCATACCTCCCCCGCATAACTCCGTGCTCCATCCCTTTGTAGTAATATCGTAAAATATCCGCGCCCGATGCGCAAAAGCATTCCGAAATTGCTTCCCATACCAGCCAAAATCGCTATCGGACAACCCGCGCGAATAGTGCAACGTTGTATGCAGTTTGATGAATTTTATATTCTCAAGCCAGCCAAGAACAACCCATAGCATATCATCATACGCTTGCGTCCGAATACTGAAGGCATTTTCTCCGAAATAGTATGCCACTGCCTGGGAGAAATACTTGTTCACCTCGTTCTCGATTCTCTGCCCATCAATTGAGGTTGTGCCAGGTAGTATGTAATCCATAGTTCTCGTAAGAGAAAAGAGGGAAGCAGAGACATACGTCCCCATAACAGCGGCCGTCCAATCAATTGCTCCTGGCCATGTCCCAATCCAAAGTTCAAAGTAATGTGTCTGCATCGTTTCAAGCGCATTGTGGAGTTCTTCAAGCGGGCTAAAGAAAAAGTCATTTTCGTTCGATGGAAATACTGAGGTCTCGTATGCTGAAACGGGAGGTTGGAGGAGCGCTTGGTCGAAGGAGATCTCCTGGATTGGTTCTCCACTCTCAGGAGTAGCTGCGCTGGAGGCCTGTGTACGGAGGAATAATGATATAAAAACAGTTGCTGCAAGCAAGCAGCGCGGATTCCAGGTATATGTCCAAGCCATAATTTGTGATTCACAAACGGAAGATCATATGTACAATTACAGACAGTCGCAAAGGAGACACCTCGCACACCTCACGCCTTTTTTGTTGAAATGAGGGACGAAACGGGGTCAAGTGCGGAAACAGGCCATAAAGGAAGAACAAACCGTGGTAGGCGAGTCCATAGGGGGTAGAAGTAACCAAGGGAGGACAAGACGGGAGATAGAGAGGAAGAGTTGTTGTCGCGCGTGACGTCCCAAGTTTCCCAACTCAAAGTTGGAGGATCAAACAGAGCAAGCTGATGCCAAGCATCGGTTCATCCTCGGATCTAGATATTTTTAGCGAGATCTTAGCGCGCCTTTTTCCATCCCAAAATCCAACTCCGCACCTCGTAAGGCGGCACAAAAAGGAGACAACAAGCAGTAGTAATTGAACAACCACAGAACAAAAATGCAAAAGAAAGATGCTATTCAAAAGAATGGTGTTGATCAGGGTGGGAATCGAACCCACGCACGTTTCCGAACAGGTATTTTCGGATATCGCTTCGACAGAAGTCTCAGATAGCCTGAAACCTGCGCCATAACCACTCGGCCACCTGACCTTAGAGTTAGACAAGAATTTGAAGGTAGCTAGCTTGCAAAGCACGGTTGTCATACTTGGATTGGGAAACATGGTTTCGTGCGGTTCTGCTGAACTAATTGGTAGGCTGTACCGAAGTCCGCATGTCATTCCGTTGTGCCGGTAGAACACCGAGAGACACAAGGTGGACCAATAGCAATGTACGGAGACATTGGGGAGGAGATGGTGATATTAGGTGAGGGTAGAGATGTCGCGATTCATCCATTCAATTATTCTATCCGCAGGTATCAATATCCCATTTTGTTCTTCTTGAAAGTACCCCTGAAACAAGTTTTGATCAAAATCGCCGGTTTCACATAAGTCTAACTAGATCGCTAACTATTCCGAAATAACCAAATCTACTTTTAGTTACCTACTAGGTTATCTACTGTGCTACGGAGTTGCTCACGATTCGGTCCCACCATGGTCGTCGGTATGGCCGATATACACTAACTACCCGCAGCAGAACACTAATGGAGTTGCCTTACATTCTATCACCCTTCAAGTAGAAATACAACCCTGTAAAGCATACTATACAAGAGCGTCTACTTAGGATTCACGTAAAATGGAGTGCATTCCATCTCAATATAGACTCTAGGTCATGCAGGCGGAATTGAATTGCTATTTGAGCACCATCCACTTTCCAGATTGCGAATGAACGCTTTAGATGGGGTCATGATCGGCAGGTTGTTGCAGCTTTCTAGGTTTTCCAGTAAGACTCAACATGTCCCTGGACGTATGGTTCTACGTGTTCAATCCGATACTCTATCCAAAGTTCCTCCGCCGTATCATTCTCTTACTTTTCTCCCAGTTCTTCCGACAATAGAACTCTTATAAGCCTTCACAGATAAGGTACAGTCATACATTGTTCTTCCCACCAAAGAAAGATTCATTAGAATTTTGTTGTTTCGCAAGCCCCACCCAGTCTCATCTCAAAACTACAGGGTTTCTACATCACTGAAATCTCCAAAGTGGATGTGATGGAAAAACCAGCAGTTCATTTCAAGCTTCCCCTCTCAATAGAGATGAACATACATTTTTAAAAGAAGGCTCGGGTAAATGAAGGCCAAATTCATGTTCCAGAAGAGAGATGTGGTTTGAGAGATAGGCCTCATAATACTCGGGCGTCAAGGAGGATAGACCGGTAAGTCTATAGCAAGCACCTGATCTAGCACACATGATGTGGGTATGGCGTTTTCGCAGTCCTAACAGGGAAGAGGTAGCAAACCTAAAAGAAACGGGAAAGTAGATGGAACCACGTCACTGAAAACTTGTTGTTTATAGACCAGTATTTAGCTATTAGGATAGATGCTGGATATTGTGCGGACTATACTGAGGTTGGGGTGAATTTTCAGGTCGTTACCTCCACTACTTGTATGACTCTGAACCGGTAAGTCATTTCCCTTGAGACCCACTATGGTGGGTTTGTCATTGCTCGAGGGGATCAGCGCCGAAATGGTGAGGCAGAACAAATAAGAGTTTGGTGAGTGAAATACTTTGCGAGGCGAAGGCCACCCGTGACTGCATACAAAGAAATGGATCCCCTTTGACGCCCTGTGTTACCTGATCTCTGACCGGTATAGCCCACTGTTTCACGACGTTCGCGCCAACAGTGATGCAAAATCACACTTAAAAGTAGTATAAGAGACGCTGTAAATTTGATAAACAAGAGAAATTCCTTCCGCTAACATAAATCCTAGGCCCAACCCCCTTTTACCGTGGAATAGTTTATACCTCAACACAACTACCTTTCCTCCATTAAACTCTAATCAAACAAAATTTCCGTCAAGTCTGCCATGGGCAACTTGCTATGCCGCCCATACTCAGAGTCAAAGAAAAGACACAGGTCCTCTCCCAAATCAAAACATCGAAAGCGCAGCTCTCGTAAAACGAAGGACAGGTCGAGGGCTCATTGTGATAGTAGAGGGCGAACATATGTGTCGGAAGCATCAAGGGAGCGACAAAGGCAGCGAGAAAGGATCCGGCGTGATGAAATTGAATCGATAGACGATCGGCGTTACGGTTGTAAGTTTATATTTACTTATCCTTTTCAGCGTGTCAAGCCTTTTCTTTTTAGCTCTACGTACGGATCTAATGCACTTTCAGCCTATTAGTTCAAATCCCGGTATATGTTGTTGGAGGGATGTAGGGCTATATGAATACCCACGTGGTCTTGTTATAAATCTGATGAGGGTGATGTGGGTGTTATGTGTCGTCCGGATCATTCCGATGATGGCTCCCATAGTCGATGTACAGTACAGTACAATGTACTCGACTCCTGCTGATGTGTATCATCGCTCTATAATCCTTAGCCAGAGGTCCGATTCACTTCCCCTCGACAGAATTGTAACACCCCGTCTTACACGACCCTCCTACAGATAACCTAGTTCTCGCGGCCTACTCGTGGCTCATAAATAGAATGAAACTATTTTCTCATACTCCGCAAGGACTCAAAACCAGCCAGAGACATTCATCACTCCTTCGTCCAAATAATTTCGACTGACAACGTGCCATCGAACTTGATTTTTGTCTTGCAGACGAGCGACTCGAGTGAAGAATATCGAGTATATCCAATAGACACAGTATTGTACTAGATATAGAGCTGAGTTTAAGGTGACTAAAGTTGGATTGACAGAGATTGAGAGTGTTCAGTGGATATCTGATGCACAATGCGCTTGTTGAGTCGGTATTATCTCGAGCGGTGTGACTCCAAAACCAGAATTAAGGCCTACCAGAACCGTGTGCCATCATTATTACTTTTTACATTTGAATACTCTCACCATTTTGAATAACCTTTGAAGAGTAATTGCAAGAAAGCGGCTTGACTGAGATGTGGAGACAATAACATCTCCGATCCAATTAAAACCTCTTACGTGCATAGGAGAAATCTCTACCTATCTTTGACCCTTGAGTCTTACGCTCCTCCCTCTAAAAGGAGTCACTAAAGGATCCAAGTTTAACATAAAATCAAGGGAAGGGTCGGAGGTGGAGAAGAAATTTTAAAAACCTCTTTTCACGGCAAGAGCTCAATTATCACTACGACCTCTAGCGATCAGATCACCAACACCTCACTTCTAACTAAGAAAAGCTCTTAAAATCTTCTCAAGTCGTCTCTGAAGAAATTCTACGAAGCAGCATCATCATGGGCTCATGTTGCAGGCGAAGCTCTCCGGAACCAGAGACCAAAAAAGCCAAACTTATTGAGACTGCAACGCCAGCAGAACTCAAAGAGGAAAGACTAAACATTCAGGGGCATCGGCGAAAATGGAAGAAATCAGATAATCAGTGGAATAGAGATAACCCACTCTCCAACATACCGAACACGCATCCCACGTTCGAACCGAACATTGAACGCAAGGAGAGCTCTGGTTTTAGATCGATCCGGAGAATGATACCTAATTATCACCTTGATAGAGAAACGCAACTGGATCATAACATGACAGGACATCTTGATTTACTTTACCACGTAACCGAACCAGACAGACCAACTGCCGAGGATATGTGCCATAACAATGCACAAAATCCACAAGTTTCGACACCAAATATCCGCCCTGAGTTACGGAGGAAACCTGTGCCAGAACCGGCTGTAACCGCTAGAGAGGATATGTACCCGAACAATGTATCAATTCAATAGGTGTCAGCCCCAAGTCCGCTTCCTAATGCACCGAGTTTAGGGCGAAACGCGGCGAGTTGTATACCAACAATGAGGAGAGACCGCTGGCTCCGGCATCAAACTTCTCAGCACATATATGAAGGAGGGAGAGTTCAGTGCCAACTGACAATGAGCTTAACCATGGAGAGCAGCCTTGGTCTTGGAAGGAAAGGGATATGAGGCAATATCAAGGTCGTGTCGAGACCTCACTAGAGGTGTTTGAACTAGGGAGAGACCTAAAATCTCAACCATGATCTATCAATAAATCTAATAAAATTGGAAAAAGGAGATGAAAATCATGTTTGCTCGTGAATATGGTGAAGTGTTGATGAAATCTTATGCATGTGATAGGGAGGCCCCCCTTTGAAATAACATAAAACACTTTGTCTATGTACAACAACTTACACTTACACGACAATGAAGAAGCCAATCACGCGGGCAAGACAGGTATAAGAGAAGGTTCAGCGTCGTCGGAGATTGAGATTGAGATTATACAAACACTCTCGCAGGAAGAACTCAACTAGAAGAAAAGTTTCACTCACCTGAACCTTCAAAACTTCAAACCCCTGAGTTCCCCTCAAAGAGAAAGCTAATACCAACCCAAGGAAACACTCTTCAAACTTCACCATGGGTTGCAGAAGCAGTCGCCAGAAAGCCCAAACCCCCGCCAGCTCTAGAGCTCTAGCCAACCACGAACCCCTGAACATCCACAAAATCCGACGAGAAAAGCACGAAGGAATGCAAGCTCACAAAGGTCAGCGATCTCCTATGGTACGTTATCCACCCCTAGACTTACCCAGTGTTTACAGTCCTTTCCAGGAAACCCCGCCACCAGCATGCAACGACTCTCTCAACGTTCACAGGATCCGTCGAGAGAGGACACAAGTTCGCAAAGAGCAGCGCCCACAGTTGGTACGTTATCCAACTATTGACTTACCTAGTGTTTACAGCCCATTTCAGACGCCCACTCCGGAGTTCCCTAGTACCTTTAGCACGTTCCGCGCGAATAAGCAGGTTGTTAGGAGGAAACCGGTACCGCTGAGAGGACCTGTGAGTCCGTTGACTGGGTGGGTTGAAGATGATGGACGGCCTATTAGCCCTTTGGGCATATGAGATTCAGCGAAGCGCGGGCGCTGATGTATTTTAGGGTTTGTAAGCGCTCGTGGGAAGATGTCCCATTGATAACCTCGATTAGGGGGTGTTTTAAGAGGATGATCTAACTGTAGAGTTCTATGAGTAGAAATTAGTCAATCACCGTGCATTGCCGTAGATACGCTGCCGTTAATTTTTTTTAGAGGTAATGATGTTTACAATATTATATTCGTTCTTGA